TACAAGATATAGGTGTAGGAAAAGACTTTCTAAATTGGACATCAGTTGCTCAGGGATTAAGGTCAACGATCAACAAGTGGGATCTCATTAAACTAAAAAGCTTCTGTACAGTAAAAGAAACAATCAAGAAAGTGAAGAGAAAACCCACAGAATGGAGAAAAAATCTCCAGAGACACATCTGACAGAAGTTTAACTTTCAGAATATATAAAGAACTCAAAAAGCAAAGAATTGCTGGGTGTGGTGGTGCATGCCTTTAATCCCAGCACTCGGGAGGCAGAAGCAGGCAGATCTCTGTGAGTTCAAGGCCAGCCTGGTCTACATAGTAAGTTCCAGGACAGCTGGGGCTACAGAGAGACTTGTCTCAAAAAGATAAAAAAAAAGAAGAAAGAAAGAAAGAAAGAAAGAAAGAAAAAAGAAAGAAAGAAAGAAAGAAAGAAAGAAAGAAAGAAAGAAAGAAAGCAAAGAATCAAGAAAACAAATGACCCAATTAAAAGACGGCTAAGGGTCTGAACAGAGAGTTCTCAAAAGAAGAAACAAAGCTGACTAAGAAACATCTTAAAAATAGTTCAACATCATCATTAGTAATTAGGGAAATGAAAATTAAAACCACCTTCAAATTTCAACTGATCCCAGTCAGACTGGCTAAGATCAAAACAAATGATACAAAATGCTGGCAAGGATATGGATAAAGGGGACCATTCATCCACTGCTGGTGGGATTGCAAATGCATGCAACCCCTATGGAAAGCAGTGTGGCAAACTCTCAAACAACTAAAAACGAACCTACCATATGACCTGGTTATACCACTCCTTGGCACATACCCAAAGGACTCATCCTATTGCAGAGACACTGTACATCCATGTTTGTTGCTGCTCTTTTCACAATAGCTAAGAGAAGGAAGCAACCTAAGTGTCCCTCAACTGATGAGTGGATAATGAAAATGTTGTACATTTACATAAAGCAGTAAAGAAGGATGAAATTTTCACTGGATGGAACTAGAAACTGTTATACTAAGTGAAGTAACGCAGACTGAGAAAAAACATGACATATGTTCTCCCTCATTTGTGGATCCTAGCACCAAATCCTTATATGTGAGCACATATCCTGACGTAACTGCAGGAACCAGGAAAATGGACAGTAAGTAGGGAAGTAAAGAGAAAGAAGGAACCTGAAAGAGAAGAACAGTAGGAAACAGGTGTTACTAAGAGAAAAAAATATAATGGGGGCAGTTAAATTTGAGGGATAAGGAAGAGCTATATAAGGAACTATGGCGATAAAGGGGAAGGAGCTCAAGAATGGTGGGACCATAGCAGACAGGAATTATCAAGGGAGAAATGGAGAAAATGGGGATACTTCAAATGGGGAGGGTCTGGAGGGCTGGTTAGACAGGGAGAGAGAAAGGAAAGATAAATGATGCCCACTAGTACAAAAAAAAAAAAACAGAGGGAATTGTATACAATTGTGTTGTATGTGAAAAATTATACATACACTATCTCTACATGAGTTCACGTGTACGGCTGAAGGTTACATAACATGAAACAGTGCCAGACAGGAGACACCTTCCTTTGAGTTGTTGGCCAGAGTAGTCCATGAGACTCCCAAAATTACACAGGCTATTGCCACAGTCCTCGATTGCCTCTCAGAACTTGAAGGTAAGACCCTATTGCTGAAGTCAGAACATACTTCAGACACAGGATTTGGAGCAATGGAGCTGGAACTGACCTGGAAGACACCTCTCCTGAAGGCTAGCTCTCATAGCTTTGGAGAGCACTATGCAAGCTGGTAAGGGAGAACATCAATCAACAGTCCAACCCCAGTTTCAAGGCCTAATAACCACATCAGTGACCAACACAGCAAATGACATTGATGCAGTAGTGGCACTTTTATCCTGGGGGTACTCAACAGCTACCTAATTGGACTTAAAGTCCCCCCATCTGGGAGGAAACTCATATGTGGTACTGCAAACCTAGCCAAATACACATAGCTAGAGAGGTCATAGATCTTAGAGAAAACCTCAAGGCTGTCACATCTCTAGACAAATGTAATTTCTTACTATGTGTAAAATGCATATCTTTAAATTTACAGACAAATATCCCTGTCACCACCCATCAAAGATGCTTCTTTATCAACAGACAGAGATTACTACAAAGTTCTACAACTAGTCAGACACAGAGACTGTCTGTAAATTACCCGAGCCTAAGTGGCACATCTACAATGCAACTTCTTCTACACCTAAGGCATACAGAACATAGAACAAGGGATAAAGAGAACAGTAATTGCCGGGTGTGGTGGTGCACGCCTTTAATCCCAGCACTCGGAAGGCAGAGGCAGGCAGATAGATCTCTGTGAGTTCAAGGCCAGCCTGGTCTACATAGTGAGTTCCAGGACAGCTGGGGCTACAGGGAGACCCTGTCCCAAAAAGAGCCCCCCCCCAAAAAGAACACTAATGCATCTTTCAGTTCTCATCAATGAAGCTCCCTCATGCAACAGAGGACTAGAAATACAAAAGGTCACAAATGGCCAAAACATAGAGAATAAGAGTCTACAGAGTGTGAGTCCTTGGACAGGATCCCTATATTAAAATCCACCCACCCAATGTTCAGGGAACATTGTGAAGAGGGGGCAGAAATATTTTAAGAGCCAGAGAGGAGGTGCACGACCATATGGAAATACAGGTCTACAGGCTCCTGGGACCTTGCTCATATGAACCTACAGCAATGGTGTCAGCATGCACAAGACCCAGGCAAACTCATGCAGACAAAAAAACAAAAAACAAAACAAAACAAAAAAACCCAGCATAGAACTGTGGAAATGGATAGCAGGCTCCAATCTTAGTCAAAGAATTATTGGCAGCTATTACTGCTGGGTGAGGAAGAGTTGATCTTCTTAAAGGGAGGGACTCTAGAGAAGCTGACTAAATCTCAGTGGATGAACTTGCACTGAGGGATGTCTGGGGACACTAATTTGACATGATAGGCCTTAACACAAATGACAAAATGTATGAATTCCAGTGGCGGGGTGGGCTGTGGAAGGGGGCCAATGGAGAAGGGGGTATAAAGATGATTAAGATTTTCTGTATGAAATACACAAAAATTCAATAAAAAATTAAAAATTAAAAAAGGAAAGAAAATTGAGGACTTGAACTGGGGTGGGGGTAAGGGAGGTGCTGGTAGATCTGCGGAGAGATGAGACGGCAGCTTGATAATGATCAAAATACATTGTATGACATTCTCAAAGGGTCAAGAAAATATTTTTTAAATTTTTATTAAGCTCTTATAAATTCCATACAACAGTTTGCCATCAAATCTAGACCCCCCTCCCCATCCATGCTCCCTACCCTCCCCACCAGACCCCATGCACTCTGCAATACATGTCAAGTCTTATCTAGCCAAGCACCCACACCCAAATGTCCCTCAGTGCACATTCATTCACTTGAGTCCAACCAGCCTAAGTAAGGTCTACTCTCCCTCACCCAGTAGTAATCAGGCTCTACCAGTTCAGGACTTAGCACCAGCCTGCCACCCATTTCCCTCGCTCCATTCAATAAAATATTTTTAAAAGAATATAAACATCTGACAGGTGTGGTGGTGCATGCCTTTAATCCCAGCACTTTGGAGGCAGAGGCAAGCAGATCTCTGTGAGTTCAAGGCCAGACTGGTCTACATAGCGAGTTCCAGGCCAGCTGAGGCCACAGGAGACCCTGTCTCAAAAAGAAAGAAAAAAAAAAAAAAGATGACCTTCTCCCTATGGTAACAAAGCTCCAAAAATATGGTGTCCTCAGGACTGAAATAGTGTCTAGTCAATAATATACAATATATATTCAAGTTTCAGGGAATATTGTTAATAACAATCTCATATATGTCTGGTAATTTCCAATGTCAAGTCTTGGACTTTCTATATATATCTATAGACTTAATGACTTAGTGAACTGTCCACTCTAAAGGAATATAATTGATTGTTTATTGATAATTTCAACCAGGACTAGACTTTGTTGCATATTCCACATTGTCTGGATATGATAACAGAAATGTACTTCCTACTCATATAAAAAGTCTAGAATGGGCAGTCAGAGGTTGGCATGGTGACTCTGAGCTACAAGCCCTGGCACCTTGTATCTTACTGCTTTGCCAACTCCAGTTTGTAGATTCTACTTTATTGTCTAAGATGGCTACTCAATCACCAGCCTTCACATCTGCATTCCAAGTCACCAGGAAAGAGGAAGGCCATGAGGAACACCATGCCTGTTCCATTTAGGAGGAAACTATACACGCTGCCTCTCATATCCCATATCTCATTTCCCATCAATGTTGACTAATACAGAAGAAGACTTGAGAATATGGGAAGCCTTAACTGAATAGAAGTGCTTCCAGTTAGAGGGTCTATTTTACCCAGGAGGAAAAAGAGAATAAATATTAAGAGGTAAGTAGCAGCCTCTTCCAAAGTTACCATGACTAGGTAATATTCTGTGAGCAGAAAAACAGAGATCTAAGACACTGCATTCAGGGTATTTAATCTAATGGTAAAAAGCAATAAATAAATAAATAAATAAATAAATAAATAAATAAATAAATA